CCCCCACCCTTCATCGAGTAGCAGCAGAGGCTATGGCCAACACTCTCCCACACACCACACACAACCCACTCGCGCTCACACTCACACCCGTGTTGGTCATAGACCCCGCTAATACCGATCAGGGGTATCCAGAGGACTATCCAGCGGCCTAGCTCAGTTGGTCAGACGGCCGTTTTAAAAGGTAAGTTCCTTTTCTTTTTTTAAGTTTTTCTAGATTTTCTTTAGATTATTTTTCTGTTTGGATTTCGTTTTAGACTCTTTTATTTTCTTTCTTTCTTTCTTTCTTTTTTTTTTCTTTCTTTTTTTTTTTTTTTTTAAAGACTATACTCTTCTCTCATTTTTTCCTCAAACTACCTACCTACCACTACTCCTACTTGCAGGCATACGGGGAAACCCGTAGCATACCAGAGCCGTGTTTTTACGGCCCCTCGAGCCTGCAGGATACCGCCCAGGGGACGGCCGGTAGCACCAGGGATAAAGCGAACCAATCCCCCATGCCTCCCCTCAGGCCCCTCCCCTACGAACATAGCAGACTCTTCTTGATGCCGATCGGGGGATCCAGTGGTCTCTCTCTTGGGTAGCGGGTGCCAAGTAAGCCCAAGAAGGTCATGAGGCCAATGGGGATTGAACCCATGACCTCCTGAATTTCCACGAACTACGTGAACGACCGTTCGTTTTGGCAAACCGTTGCATTAGCGCAGAAGAGATGAAAAAAAAAAGGAGAAGATAAACAAGCGCCAGGTGGCGCATAAAGAAAAGGCTGGAACTAGAGTCCCCACGAGCAACAGCAAGCGCCGGTTTCTAACGGGCAGCCAATCTATTGCAGGGCAGTTCATGTTTTTTTTTTGTTTTTTTTTTTCCTCAGATTCGTTTTTAGATTTTCTTTTTCCTTTTCTTCTTTTTAGTGCTTACCTGTTTTGAAGGGCCAACCGTTCGTGCAACAGCGAGGGAGATGGGAATCCGAATGGCCGCGTATCTTTCCACGATCTGGCAACAGATTCGTGGAAAGGCCAGTCTGTGAGAGCATGACTTATCGATCCTTTAGCGTTTCAGGACTTGAACCTAAGGGTGCCGAAGAGTTACCACAGGGATAATCGGCCGTGGCAGCCACGTTCATAGCGATGTTGCTTTTTGACCCTTCGGTGTCGGCCTCCCAACCATGTAAGTGCCTGTAGCGGACGCCTTTTGGCTGCGCCAGACACAGGCGCACAACAAGGGAACGTTTTTTGACGAACCGACGGAGGGAAAGAAGACCCCGTGAGCTTGACTTTAGTTCGACACAGTGAAATGACTGGAGTTAGGTGGGCGACCTTCTGTTTTGAGACAACGGGCTGCCCCACACAAAGAAAAACGAGGGGGGGTAAAAAGGAAAACAAAAAGAGAAGAAAAGAAGAAGAAAGAAGAAACAAAAGAAAAAAAGAAAAAAGGAAGGGAAAAAAAAAATAACAGCCGCGAATATGGTCGCGGCCGCGGAACAGGTGCAGCCCCAGAAGTTTCTAGGGGCTGATGGGACTGCGCCTGTTCGTTTTGAGCAGGCTGAAGTAAATGGCTGAGTACAGAAGGAGTATCTGGCCTGGGAAGACGGCCAGATACTTCTGGAGGTTGATGACCTTGGTCTCCCTAGGGTGAAACCAAGGCACTGAGCTCCTAGCCGTTGATTTAGATCAAGGGCCAGGAGCACCCACAAATTTTTGCCTGGCTGTGGGCAAAGTAGCTGCCCACATGCGTTCGGCTGGCTGTAAAAGTCAGCACTTCACCCAACAGCCTCACACTTGTGGCAGTGCTGCTGGGACATTCACTTGGGTGAATGTTGGCTAGCTGCTGCATGCTGCTGGAGAGGAGGTGTTGCTGGTGGAGTGGAGGTCTCCAGAGAGTTGGAGGAGGAGAAGGGAGGCAGCCATAGATGAGGGCTGGGAGCTTTTTGCCCCACCCTTGTGCGTGCGCTGTATGTGTGGGCAGGTGCTGCGGCCGTAATGCGGCGGCAGTGACACTTCGGTGGTGAGGTGCTACCGGATTGACGACATGGCGGCATCAAGGTCTCCCTAAGGGGAGGTGTGGCATTTTGAGCCACATGGGCCCCAGTTAGGGCCCGGTTCCTCTAAGTCAGGGTATGCCTAGGGGTACGACAGTTCAGATCAGGCCCAGGCAGACCTAGGAGTACGCCGGTTCATGTAAAACCCAGTAGGCCTAGGTATAGGGGTCTAAGACAGACCCAACGGTCACATTGTTTCAGGCCGGTACCGGTCCAGCGGTAGGACCTACCGGCGGCACAGTTCAACGGCCAAGTTAGGCCGCCACTTTCAGAATTGGCAAGAGGATCTGAACCGTTGATCAGATCAACGGTCCAGACCCAAGGTACCAGCAGCCTTGAGGCTGGCCCCGCACTATATTAGTCGGGTACCAGTCTACAGAAAGTAGGTTAGTAGTAGACAAGAGGTTAGTCTTCAGGATTAGCGCAGCATTTCAGCGTTAGCTGGATTAGCGCACCGTTGCAACGTTACCATGAGCCGCGAGGAGAGAAGGAGCTCAGCGGCAGAGAGGAACTAGCGCAGCATTGGGAGCAGCGTCAGCCACCGGCCCAGCCCGCGGCCCAGCACCAGTCCCTACGACGCCATAGCTACCGTATCAGGTACCAGGGAGAAAGGTCTTGCCTTCTCTCCCTCTTCTTCCTCCACCACTCTCTCTCTCTCTCTCTCGCTCTCACTCCTCCTACCTTCTCAGTCTAAGTCTACTCATGGGTTCTACGGGACTACTACGAGTATGAAGGATGGTTACGAATTCTGATGATATTGGAGAGAGCGACATTGGGACTGTAGGTTGAGGACTACTCTTGGGATCTGATTTCATCCTCCTCTGAAGATGTACCTTGACATTGTGAGATTGATATCTGAGACATTGTGAGACACTGTGTTCACGACATTTCGGATTTTTGCTACCTCTAACATTTCAAGATACTATCTTTGGAAACATTGAGTTGACGTCATCTTCCCTCTCCTCCTCCCTTCGTCTCTCCTCTCCCTCCATTCGTCCGTGTATGATCTCAGACCCTGGCCTTTCTTCTATGCCCAAGGCCAGGGCTTTCACACCACTGATGCATGATTGAGAGTGTTCGATTGCAGTCTGAGTCAGGTCAGAGTCAGTCCATGGGTATCAACTCTTTCGCTGTATTTGTATTAACCCTGTATTATCTGGTCGGTTATGGGAATCTGCGCCATACTTATGACTGTGTTTCACGAGTATGCAACAGGAGGTGTTGTCCGTTTGACGGCACGACAAAGGTGATATTTTTTTTGTAAGATTACGCTGCCAATTTTTTGGCAGGGCAGCGGCATTTCGGCGGGAAACTGCTTCCAATTTTTTTGGCACGGCGGCGTGGTACCGGTTTCGACGGCACGGCGAGCGGCAGTTCTGCTTTTAATTTTTCATGTGTGCGGTGATGGTGGACTATTCTCTCATGATCTGACGGTAGTATGGGCACAGGTGAATGATTGTGTCTGTGCGGCAGTGGTGCATGGACCGACGCCATGAGGAGAGTGTGAGAGTTTTTAAATGCAATGGCACAGGTGTCTGCTTTTACCAGCACCACTAGCACCGGAGGGTTAATATATATATATTACACCCCCTGCTCTCCTCCTGTCAACCGAACAACTCCAAGAATCTCAACCACGCAATCTGTTCCACCTCCAATTAACCCCCAACAATACACTTCAACGAAGCTTCACTGAAACTTCCTCTTCTCCCTACGACCCCCAGCCTCCAATGATAGCCCACTGTTGAACACAGCATCCCATCATGCCCCGAGCCTGAAAGTACAGGTGCTGATCTGTCATGAGCCAGATATCAAGTTGCATCGCCGCAAACCATCGTGACGAAGAAGGTGAACCTCGATGAAGAAGATGATGGCTGCCCTGGTATGGCAGCAACCAGCAACAAGCCACTTGATGAACAGCCGCGTCCTTCAACCCCCACAAACAGCAGTGTGATGGCAGTGGCATCAGCACCTGGAAGACCTACCAGTGCTGCCTCCTCAAGCTGCAGGGCGCCCCAGCTATGGCTGCCCAAGTTCCCCTTCGAAGAGGAAGAAGGCTGAGCGCTGGAAATAGTGCCACTCATATACTGCCGTCGTCACTTCCAAAAAATGAGAAAAGAACCTCAAACTTCTCGGCCTCTCCCTACTTCTACCCAACTTCCTTAGACCTACAACACAGCAGTCACCTACGACTCGGAACCTATCTGACCGTTGAAACAGCAAACATCTACGGTCAAACAGTCAAGATCTGCCTACATGCATCTGGATGGAAATCTAGACTACAGGGACCCAAGACTAGGACACACAAACGAGAGACCTACGGGCCTACCAGTTTCCAGAAGAGAAGAAAAGGACAAAACAGCAAGACCTGAAGGGTCTAAGACTGCCAAATAGAGACTACCGGCGACAGGTTCACGGATCAAGCCAGACTCAAAGCTATGGTAGTAATCAACACATGCAAACTCTAGGTCACAGGATCAAGTCCCGAAGGGCTCAGAATAGGCAAACAGCAGACACACTTAGTGTACAGCCCGCGTGAGCAACTGCAATTCATTGCATGTGTGCGTGTGTGTGTTATAGATTTTCCCCACAACAGCCCCAATTCCACCCAGATGAATAGATTCAGAATCAAAGCAGTCTTTGTCCTATTGCAGACAACGAGAGCATTTGAGATGAGACAGTCAGTCCAACATATTAAAGCAATTTTATAATTAGACAGTTTGTTGGTTGCCCTTGGGGTAGTGTGTGTGTGTGTGTGTGTGTGTGTGTGTGTGTGTGCGCGTGTGTGTGTGTGTGTGTGTGTGTTCCTCGTTGCTCAGCAGGTGATCATCACATCTGCATCTGCTCTATGCTTGGCAGTCTTTGTCGGAATATCCCAAAAAGGTGTGTGTGTGAGCCGTCTGGGGCCAAATAAGCCCCTGCGTAATTTCCTGTTCTTTTTGCTTGGCTGTGATTTGGGGGTTGGACGTACCTTGCATGGTCGAGCATCAGGCGATTTCAACAGCACAGTTTCACTCTTATTTTTGGTACTCCACATCCATGGCAATACCGGTCCACCACCTGCAGACTGAAACCAAGAATCATTGACGAAGTTTCGATCAGTATTGGCCCTTGCTAACTTTCATTTCTCTTGTTTCTTCTAACCCTAGAAGGCACCCCATTCTTCCATTTCCATGTGCTCCGAAAGACCAGCCCGCGGGAATGACACCCACAGCAAACACTCTCTGAGCCTCCTCGTGATGATATCATGGCCAAACCCCCAAACTACCACCCCAGGAAAAACTTGTGGCCACCCACAGACATTACCTCAGCAACAAGACAGCCCATCCTGCAAAGCAGGGCAAAGAATTAGGCCATGTATAAGACTTTAAGAAACCAAACCAGCAAAACACATCCATCCACAGAGAAAGAGAAGTGTGTGTGTGTGTGTGTGTGTGTGCGTGTGTGTGTGTGTGTGAACACTGTGAAGGCCTTTTCGAAGTTGTCTGGACTTTTTGAATTGGTTGGATTGGACTTGGTCTGGAATCTGGACCTGGTTTAGACTGGGTTTGGACTTGGTTCGGACTTGGGTTTGAATTTGGTCTGGATTTGGTTTGGAACTGATTGGAAACTGGTTTGGACTTGCTTTGGACTTGGTGTGGACATGTCTAGCGAGCTGGGCTACCAGCCGGGGCAGCCGGGTCACCTTGTTTGCCCGGGTGGCCAGGCCCTGCAAGGACCAGGGAAGGTCCCAGCACCAGGGGGAAAAAAAAAAAAAAAAAATGTTATGCAGAAAAATAAATAGAACTTTTTGCCTCAGTCCGAGGATCTGTGTCCTCCGCAGGCCGAAGGGGCCCTGTTACAAGTGCCCGCCCTAAGTGAAGGCGGGCCTAACAAATCGTGAGAGGCCCTTTGCTCTCAATTTCATATTTGGGGTCCAGGCAATTGTGACGCTCCAGTTGGTTGAGGGAAAACACAGGTCGAGCAGCAAAGATATTCCACGGCCTACCAGGCCTTTTCCGGAAATGCAGGCCCTGGGCAAGAATCGCAGCCTCATACACAGACAGTTGGGAGGCCCAACCGAACGGAGGCCCGGCAGCTGCATCGGAGGCACAGCCTCCTGAGGCCTACAGGAAGCTTCTGGGCAGAGGCCCAGGCCAGCCAGGCCGCCAATCGAGGCAGGCTCTTTCCATATAGGAAAGAGCTCGCTGCCTGGGCTGGCATTCAGGCACTTGCATGCTAGCGGAAGCACTGCTGGAGCGGACGCTCGTGGGCTGCTGCTGGCGCTGAGAGGCAAGGTGCAAGCACGTGCGGTCGTGTGTGAGTGAGGGCGCTGCTGAGGGCAGCGCCATAGCCCAGCCTCCATAGCTGGCTGGGGCTTGGACTACAGTGAGGCGCAGGGGTGGTCTTCGGGTGTGCAGAGGGAAGACGTGGGTGTAGGTCAGGGGAGAGAGAGAAGGATGATGATGATGATGATGTGAGGGCACATACCTGGTATTGGCGATGGTCTGCATCGGGCGACATCTTCAAGTACTTCGTTGGCCGCTGGTGTCAACAGTTGCATTGTCAATTAGTAGGCAGACAGTAGCTGTGTAGGAAGTAGGCTGGGCGCTGAGCGCCAAGTAGGGAGAAGAGACTGGACTCCTATGTTGATGATGGCGAGAGCAAGCTCTCATTGACATTGGTTTTCAGTGTTACAAATCTCCATTGGTGTTATATTGGTGCAATGCTGCTTTCTGGACACGGAGATACTATCTGGCTTTCAATGTGATTGTGCATTCTGGATTTTGTCATCTCGCTGTTGCTCATTTTCCTTGCAATTTGGTATCAGAGGCTGGTTTGAACTGCGCTTCATTGATTATTCACAATAGCCGTTTGGTGCTTCGCATGAGGTGTGAGGCAGTGATAAGGCTTGGGCGTTGAATGATAGGCGGCCCAGGGTTGTGTGGGCGTGCCAGGAAGCTATGTGGTGACATTAGAGGTGTACGCTGGATGATGAGAGCTCCCTGATGTGGCATTTAAGCCGAGGTGGAACTGCATTCTGCTGTTGGTTGTGCCGAGGCAAAGACCGGTCATCATAAATGCACATCAGGTTGCCGGTGAGAAATCTGTGGTTGGGGGCTCTTCCTTATCTACCCTCTCCATTGCTTCTTACCGTGAGGAAGTGAGTTCTGTCTTGAGAGTCCTCTCAATGTGAGGTGTCGCGAGCACTCAACCTTGAGAGTCGACATTCTTCCAGGGCAGCAAGCTGGTGGGAGACGGGCAAAGCCTATGAAGGGCCCTGGACGAAGCACTCGGGTCACGGTCACCATGCCAACCCGCTGGGACTAGTACACGCATGCTTTGCCGCAAGTCCTTGGTTCTGCTGCTGCGCAATAGAGGTCATGCAGGGCATGCCAGCCCTTTGAACAGGCGCTTACCAGACCGTCTCTAAATATTTCTGGCGGGTTTTGGTGTTAAACCCTGGCTGTGATCGTCGTCCTGTCTGCGACGTTAAATTATTCCTGAGGACCTTGGGGGCTGTCCTTAAACTGCCTCTTGATCAGCCAGATCAAACCGATAGTAAGGCTCGTTGCATGCTAGGGTAAACAACTTGCAGGGGGGCTGACAGGTTCGGCATAGACTTGGGGCACGGGTGGGCCGGAGGCGGAGGTTTCAACATATAGCCAGATTTGCCTTTAAGATTTGCCTTTAACATTACTGTGTAAGCGCCCCAGATAAGGCATCCGCCCCAGATAAACTACCCACCATGCAAGGTTCTACCAGACCAATTGTTTTGGCAGTTAGACGCTGTGGCATTAATTAGACAAACTACCATCCAGCATACATCTCCACAGGTAAACTGTTTTGTTCTTGATTATTTAGTTGTACGGACTTGTTGACAACTGACAGACAACTGCAGATAGGATAGTATTTTCCTTGTTGCATTGCAATCTGTATTAGAATAATCTAAAAATAGAACTAGTGTTACCTGTAGGATCTGACTTTACTTGTTACTGACCACTTAACTGTTTCTCTCCATGCTGACCGAAAATAGTTGATAATCATACTCGGTTGGGTGTCATGCTGAGGTAGGATTCAGTGTGGATTCTAGTTTAGATCACACACATTGTAGTTGATGAGTGATGCAGGCAGTAGTGAGGAGGAGGAGAGACTAGTAGAACCCCTTAGAGTTACTTGTAGAGCTGCACTCAGTCGACCGATTACCTTCTTGGAATCAGGCCAAGGAGAGGAAAGGAGGCTGCGAAGGGATACCAGGGAAAGGACGACATTAAAGTGGGCTAGGACAGCGACAGCCAACGCTGAACGGACACTTGCAGCGGCAAGACTAGCGGACGCTAGGGTCCGGGCTGAGGCTGTGATGGCTACCTCCTCCAAAGTGTCACAAGCCTTGTCTCAGGCCTCTTCGTCAGGTGTCAATTAGGGAGTTTCTTAGGTTTCCATTAGTCAGACTGTTGGCTTGCAAGGCCAACAGACTCAACTCACACCGGAGGATTATGAGATCCTCCAAGCAGAAGAACTTCATGATGAGCTGCAACGACAGTTGAGAGAGGGAGCATAGAGGAGACAGTGGGCTATGTTGAGAAAAGCTAGACTAGGGAGTAGGAGACATGAGTTAAGCAAATTAGAGGCACTAGACGAGTCAACACTTGATCCTGCAATGCAAGCGTTGCGTAACTCGTTGCTTTGCGTGGCCGAAACGCAGGTTGTTCAGCAGGGAGTGTTGAATGAACTATTGGCAGGCCAGAGACAAATTATGGCTGCACTGCAGGCTCCTTGTCCAATGATAAGGCAGCCGATCGGGATCGTCAATCCGAAAGGTCCCGACGGCCCAGATGTTACAACCGGTTTGCCTTTGCCCACGGGAACCGGTTTGCCCGCTGGGAAAGCAGCCTAGCCCACGGGAACCGGTTTGCCTGTGTGGGAAGGCTGCTTTCCCAACGGGCAAACCGGTTCCGGTGGGCTGGCCGTGTTACCTCACTGTGCGCAGACCGTTTCGTCACAGTCGTATGTCGCGTAACTGTGGCGGCCAGATCGTGCGAGTTGTCGTCAAGCGCTCTCTCCTCTCTCTCTCTCTCTCTCTCTCTCTCTCTCTCTCTCTCTCTCTCTCTCTCTCTCTCTCTCTCTCTCTCTCTCTCTCACACGTCCAGTGGTGGGCTGTCGTGAACTGTGGTGAGCAGTGGGCAGTGGTGGGCCGTGGTGAGTTGTGGTGGGCTGTGGTGAGCAGTGGTGGCCCTTGGCTGGGCAGTTGTGGACATCGCAAGAAATGGGGGACGCCGACACAGGTGAGTCGTCAATCTCTCTCTCTCTCTCTCTCTCTCTCTCTCTCTCTCTCTCTCTCTCTCACGTCCACTGGTGGGCTTTCGTGAACTGTTGCGATCCATTTGAAAATCGGCGCGCGCGCAAGAGAGAGAGAGAGAGAGAGAGAGAGAGAGAGAGAGAGAACCCCCAAACTAACTAACTATCCTGCCCCTCAAAACGACGACGACGATGACGATCAAGTGCAGTATCTGCTCCGATCAGTTTGATATCTGACCCGTGGACCATCGGGAGATCTTTATTAACAACCAAAAAAAAAAACACGGAAAAACAGCGCGCAGCACAGAGAGAGAGAGAGAGAGAGAGAGAGAGAGAGAGAGAGAGAGAGAGAGAGAGAGAACCCCCAAACTAACTAACTATCCCGCCCCTCGAAACGACGACGACGATGACGATCAAGTGCAGTATCTGTTCCGATCAGTTTGATATCTGACCCGTGGACCATCGGGAGATCTTTATTAACAAAAAAACAAAAAAAACACGGAAAAACAGCGCGCAGCAGAGAGAGAGAGAGAGAGAGAGAGAGAGAGAGAGAGAGAGAGAGAGAGAACCAAAAAACGAACTATCCCACCCCTCAAAACGACAACGACGATGACGATCAAGTGTAGTATCTCTTCCGATCAGTTTGATATCTGACCCGTGGACCATCGGGAGATCTTTATTAACAACAAAAAAAAAAAAACAAGACCCTTGAAAAAGCAAAAAACGCAAGCGCGTCCGCGGGAAGCGAGAGAGAGGAAGAGAGACCAGACGGGAGAGAGAGAGAGAGAG